GTCTCACAAATAAAACATTAGCAATCTAAATCTAAAAATATACAATATAATTTAAACATAGTAAGGTGCTGTATATTGTGAGGCACAACTAAATGATGTACAACAGGATTATGGATACTTTAGTGGATAAAGAGAAAAGCAGAAAATATAGTGAAATGCTAGCTTAGTTAAATCTGTGTGTTACTTAGGTATCTGTATCATTTTCTTTATTTTTCTATATATTTGAAACATAAGGATGTTTATTATGAGAGTTCAGGTTGAATAGTAAGGCAGTTATTGCTACAAAGCCCTTTGAACCCGAGTTCTATGGTGCCAGGTAAAAGAAGAGAAAGCATCTCCAACCCCAGTGACATAATTTCTTTTGTTCCTGTCTTAGGAATGTTTCTGGCTGATATCATTGAGAAATACTTTGTTTCCCCAACCCTATTCCGAGTCATCCGATTGGCCCGTATTGGGCGCATCTTGCGTCTAATCAAAGGCGCCAAAGGGATTCGTACCCTGCTTTTTGCCTTAATGATGTCCTTACCTGCCCTGTTCAACATTGGCCTTCTGCTCTTCCTGGTCATGTTCATCTTCTCCATCTTTGGGATGTCCAATTTTGCATATGTGAAGCATGAGGCTGGCATTGATGACATGTTCAACTTTGAGACATTTGGCAACAGCATGATCTGCCTGTTTCAGATCACAACCTCAGCTGGTTGGGATGGCCTGCTGCTACCCATCCTTAACCGCCCGCCTGACTGCAGCCTTGACAAGGAACACCCAGGGAGTGGCTTTAAGGGAGACTGTGGGAACCCCTCTGTAGGTATCTTCTTCTTTGTAAGCTATATCATCATCTCCTTCTTGATCGTGGTGAACATGTACATTGCCATCATCTTAGAGAACTTCAGTGTGGCCACAGAAGAAAGTGCAGATCCTCTGAGTGAGGATGACTTTGAGACCTTCTATGAGATCTGGGAGAAGTTTGACCCTGATGCCACACAATTCATCGAGTACTGTAAGCTGGCAGACTTTGCAGATGCCTTGGAGCATCCTCTCCGAGTGCCCAAGCCCAACACCATTGAGCTTATCGCCATGGATCTGCCGATGGTGAGTGGGGATCGCATCCACTGCTTGGACATCCTTTTTGCCTTCACCAAGCGGGTCTTGGGAGACAGTGGAGAGTTGGACATCCTGCGACAGCAGATGGAGGAGCGATTTGTGGCTTCCAATCCTTCCAAAGTGTCTTACGAGCCAATCACAACCACACTGCGGCGAAAGCAGGAAGAGGTATCTGCAGTGGTCCTGCAACGCGCCTACCGGGGACATTTGGCAAGGCGAGGCTTCATCTGCAAAAAGATGACTTCGAATAAGCTAGAAAATGGAGGCACCCACAGGGAGAAAAAGGAGAGCACCCCATCCACAGCCTCCCTCCCATCCTATGACAGTGTGACCAAACCTGACAAGGAGAAACAGCAACGGGCAGAGGAAGGAAGAAGGGAAAGAGCCAAAAGACAAAAAGAGGTCAGAGAATCCAAGTGTTAGAAGAGAGCAACAATGAAATATTTACTGGTTTAAAACTTGCAAGTGAAAGATTGTTTACAAACTTTCTGAATATTATCAATGCAGAACAGCTGTGGAGACACTGTACCCTGAAGATCTATACCAAACGTAGTCTGCTTATCATGTGACATGGTTGCATCTTGAGCAGTGACCTGCCAAGGGCAAAGGACCCTGCTCCCTGGACTCACAGATTTTCTATTGCTTGGGCAGGTGGTTACTGCATGTTCCACATTCAGTCAATGCAACTTAGAACAAAACTAACAGGATACAAAAACAGAGGAGAGGCTGCCGGGACCAGCATATTTCCGTTGCAGCCAAATGGATTTTATTTTTTCATTTTGTTGATTCTCAGAAGCAGAAAGCATCACTTTAAAAGTTTGTTTGTTCATGCAAACTATATTTGCATTCTTACATTAGTTAAGCTAAGCGGCAAAAAAGAAAAACACACACACACTCACATTTAGCCCATGTCATTTAATGGTCAGTTACTTTGACATAAATCGCATCTTCTCCACATGGGCTTCACGTGGTTTGGAGATGGGTGGGGGAAAACAATCAGGTTTTTCAGGCTGAGGAGGACTTGCTCAGGCCAATTCCAAACATTGTGCTCGTTCAATGCGTAGAAATGATTTGCATGATGGCATGCCGTGATCAGAAGTCATGCATGAGATCCATACACCACAGGACACTACTAATCCTGTCCCCTGCATTGGGTCAGCCTTTGGACAGGACCCAGCCCTGCACCGTTCACTGTATTGGAGAAAATGGTAAGAGTTCCATACTGGCTGCAATTCTTTATAAGTCTTAGAAATCTTTCATACACTTTCTGGGTAGGGAAACATAATTAATCAATTGACCACCACCAACAAAAAGCAAACCCAATCCAACAAGCAGATGGATCCGTTGTGTATATGTTTAACAGACATCTCTAACATACAGCCATTGTTGCACATTTTGCAAGATGAACTATTTAATGCTGCTCTGTGTCTAGTACATGGGGAGACTTTGATCCCGAATGGCTTGTACTATTAATGTCACTGTAAAACCAAATCCTAGGGCTAAAAAAAAAGTTCATTTGTATCTTGCAATATTTATGATGATTGTTTAGCCTTCATACTGGAGAACAGACACCTATTTGGAGTAGAGATAAAAGTGCTATTTAGAGTAGCATGTTTATCTCTAGGGGGTATTTTGGGAAATTTAAAATGACCTTTCATTGGGGATTATGGGGTGCTCACTTCATTTAGTGTCATGTCCTTTGCATTGTGGCTCTCTCCAGGCTCGGGTCTCTGTGGAGAGGGTTCAGATATTCTGAACTGCCGGCTCTTTTCCACAGAGAGGTCGCCACAGACTCACCCCTGCATGGCTCCTCTTACCTCCATAACATTTCTTCACCATGCAGGGCTTCCCTTCCACCCTGCAGGGCTGCTGAGGGCAGCGGCATTGGATTTGGCTGTAGTTTCTTTCATTTATTATTAGAATAACAGTCACTGGTGGGACCTGAGGTAGATGGAGCCGCCTCTGAACCAAGCCTACTTGGTTTCTTTATTGCACTGGTTTTTATGAGAAAGTGATTTAATATTAATTCTTTAGGATGTTCCAGCTTCCCCCAGCACATTCCCTTTCAGCCAGTTTTGCTATGTGCTTAATGACCTGCCCACTGTCATTGGAGGGTGGTTTCTGGGGGAGCATCTAATCTTTCATTCCATCTCCTGCTTTATGGAAGACAGTTCTTAGTGCAGGGGTATATCATTTGATGACAAGGTTTCGAAGCCAAGACTCCGCAGTTAGATGTTTCAGGAAGTCTCTTTGAAGAGCAAAGAAAGACTGGTGAACCAAATCAAAATAAATTCTTCCTGAACCATATAATAGAGGGGGAAAAGAAACCAACCCGTTATCAGATGCACCAATCTGCCTTGCAGTAGAAGCACTTTGGATGTAATTTTACAGTCCACTTGACTAGTTTTGCATAAAACAAACCACAGCAGCTCAGTAAGCAGAGCTTCCTATCTTCCTGGACCATTAGAAACTCCGTCCAGTTCTCTCAAGCCTGCTTCTGCGGCACATCCGTAGGGTTTTGTACTATGCCTGATGCCAGATTGGGAAGACCTTTCAGTGCCCCTGCTAACTGCTAGGATGAATGTATAGTACCGTGTACAAGTGACATTGTAAACAGCACAAAACAGAAGCTGATGCGTGGTTATTCTTTTTAAGAGAATTATAAATACTGTAATATATAATTTTATTTTATTGGCATGCCTTTTGTAAATACAAATTATTAACTTATTAAATAGGAAATGGCTTCTGGCTTATGCCATTGTCATGTTTATTTTTATTTTTTATACTTTTCTTTCTTCTTAGAACTTAGATGCTTTCAGCCAATGTACATCCCCAAACCAGACAGACAGACAAAAAATTTTTTATTGCTAATGGTTTTTTCCAAAACAACAAAATATATATATTTTTGTTCCAGTGTGCAATAAATTCTAACCACTTCTATGCAAGATTTGGCTAAACTCAATAATTGTTCTTAGGTCTTGAGATGGGCAACAGAGCTATATGATCCCGCCAGGTACTCCAAGCGCTCATGCTAGTGATGTCATTAAGCTACTAGAATCTGTTAGTGTTTAGATACTTCTGAGATCTGACCGTTTTCCTCCCCCAGCTCCTGCTCGCAGCCCCGCAGGCTGTCTCCTCAGTAACACATGGGCCTTGGTATACGGCACCCATCCGCCAGCTTCATAGGACAGAAGCCACCTCCACTCTATCTGAAGTTTCACTCTTTTTTTTAACTTTTCCTACCTCTTCACCCTCACCCACTGTCTCACCACTCAGTCACCCCCTCACTCTTGCACTCACTATCCTGCTCCACACTTCTTTGGTAGTAAATGACACCATCACCAGCAGTTTACACCCGCAGTTAACAGGCACTGAACTGAAAGATCAGTGATGGCGTCTTTGTGCATCCTCACTGAGTGGGTAGTGGCAACGCTTTGCCAAATATTAACGAAGCCAATCAAAAAGCAGCAGCAGCCACAGTATCACTGCACATATATATATATAGATATATAAATATAATATAAATATTTATTTTTTGTAGCCAGGTCCTTGGTGCAGTATTTATACTCCACAATCCACCTTTAAAAAAAAGGACAAAAAGCAAAAAGTCATGTGTGATGCTGTTAATTTAAAATGCAGAGCCAAAGCCACTGAGCAACAGCTGCCATGGTTGCTGGTTTGTGTGTGAAAAACAGCCCCCCCCCTTTTTCCTTAGCCTCCTTGTTGCTTAGGGTGAGGAGAGTCTGTATGTAAAGCAGAGGGGGAGAGCAGCAGAGATTTCCCAAGTGCACGTTACCTCTCCCTCCTCCCTAAACAGGCTGCTCTGGGCATCAGTCATTGATGGGTGGAGAAACAGAAACTCCCAGTCACAACCCCTGGAGCAGCGGTGCCCAGATGGGTTCTTTCCTTTTTCACCACAACCAATGTAAACTAAAAGACCAATAGTGTATTAGTGAATGCATGGAGGCCAACGCTGCCCTAAATGAGACGTGATTAAAACAGAAAAAAGTACATCACTTCTATAAGCCAAAAGGAAACAAAATAAAAATGACCCTTTTTACTGTACAAGGGAAGCCTGTCTTGGTGTGTGTTTGTTGCTTGACTGTCCCAGTTCTTGAGTCCTGGGAGGGGTCCGGGAACTGGGACCTTAGTGCATTGGGGAAAGAAAGGGAACTGAGGGGAGAGAAACCAGAAGGTCGTTTGCAGTGCTGGCTAAGTTGAGACTGGAGAGAACAGCCAGGTCCTAACTCCCCAGATTCCCACTCGACCATTGCATGTGGCATTCCCCACTCCGCCGGTGCTTAGAGGCTTAGACAGCCCCTTCTCACCTAGCCCACCTGGCAGAGCCCCCAGAGATGACCTCAGCCAACCCAGCTGGACTGGCCTTACTTCTGCCTTCTTCACCAGTGTGTTGGGAAAAAATGCACACACACACCCCCCACCACGTCCTCAAGCTAGGTCATGCATGATGCCCGACAGCCCTGCTGGCTGGCACTGGGCCCTGCCCTCCATCACCCCCTCAAGCCAGCAGACGGGGACTGTCCTCTCACATCTCTGCAATGGAGGGGCACCCCCTTGGGGACAGTTCCCTCTAGGCCACATCTCCTGGTCCAGGAACACTCAGGAGGATCTGAAGTGCCCATTCTACACCGCTCCAGAGACTCCCTCTGGAGAGAGATGGCCCGTAGGTCAGTCCCCATCCTTGGTCCCTCAGCCCCAGCCTCCAGCTCTATGGTGGAGGTGAGGTTGCCATGGCTTGTGATTACGACTTGAGTCCTGGGCACCTTCTGCAGTGATGCCTCTTTCTTTTCACAGATGTTGCCCAAAGTTTTGCAAAAAGCTTCATTCATTTTCAGGTACCCTCCACCCCTTAAAAAGTCAGCTGCAACTAATCAGCCAGGGGGACATCAGGAAAGAAGAGGAAGTTTGGGTTGGGAGGGGCCCAAGGTTTGCACCAGTCTGTGCTGCAGCTCGGTCGGTGCTCTCTTGGATTCCCTTTTCAAGATTACCAAGACTTCCTTCAGTAAAGTGCTCCTGAGGCACCCCTGCTCCTGCCCCCCACTGCTATTTGCTGTACATAGAGGCTAAATGGGGTGGGGTGGGCGGTTGTGCACATGTGGTGTGTGTGTGTGAAGAGTGTACATAGGTAAAGGGGAGTGTTGTCCAGTGGTTCCAGAAAAAGGGCAGAACTCCTGTGTTCTATCCCTGGCTTGACCACTGGCTCGCTGTGTGGCCTTGGGCAAGTCACTTAACCTCTCTGTGCCTCAGTTTCCCCATCTGTAAAATGGGGATAATAATACTGACCTACCTCACAGGGGTGTTGTGAGGCTTTAACTAAATGTTTTGTAAAGTGTTTTGAGATACAGAGGCAAAGGCGCTAGGGAAGGGCGAAGTATTATTTGGACTTAAGGAAGATGAAATGGTACCATAAATGCTGCTATTCTGAGAGCCATTTTTAACTGCACTGCTCCAACCACCCCCCGCTTCTCATCACCAGGACAGCAGGTCGAGAAATGTCTTTCCTTTCACTTGCTTCTGGGGTTTGTGACTTCTAGACTTACTTTTCCCCCCTTGCTGTACTTCCTTCCCTCGCCCCCTCGACTTGTTCCCTGTTCTGTTTATGCAGAAATGGCAGAAGTGCTAGAGAAATGAGAATGTATCCGTGGATTGGAAGTTTATAGTCTGAAATTTCAATTTTACTTTGTACTGTACATCTTTTTACTTTAGAATTTGCAATAAAGGGTTACGTCAATCTTGTTTTCAACTCTCCTCTTGGACTGGCTTGTCATTCTGTCATGGCTCTCACCCCAAGCGCCAGGGCAGGGGGGGGCAGTCTGTATACAGGTTCACCCAGTATCCTGGGTAGTGCTGGTGGGAGTGGGGTGGGGAGTACATGCAAGTGGGCACCCCTGCACTGCCCTACACATGCCTGAAGGGCCTTGGAGCAAAGCCAGGAAGCTCCACACACCCGTCTGGTTCCTGCCAAAAGGCTCTGGATTTTAAAAATTGCCTATATCACAAAGAGCTGTGAGCAGCTTCCTGATATGTATTGCTGATACCTTTCTTATTGGGCTGGTTTTTTTTTGGGGGGGGGGGGCGGGTATTTTGTTTTGGTTTTGAGACATGGTAGCGCTATTAGTTCAGGCTGGCCTTGAACTCACAGCAATCCTCCTGCAGCCTCCCGAATGCTGGGATTTCTGACCTTCGCCACTGCACGCGGCCCTTTGACTTTGAAGAGTAAGTAAGAGAATGTTAACAGCTTAGCAAGGCCAGACACGCGGTTTGTGCTAGGAAGTGTTGGCTTTTAGTGGAAAGTAGCCCCCATCCTGGGAGACCCCACCAGTGCCCATCTCGGTCCACGTGGTCCTCGGGCTATGCCTGGCATCCCCACAGAATTAACCGACAGCCTGGTGTCATAACTTTTATAATCCGTCCGGGGCAGCACTCCAGCAGCACCTCACTCCCACTTCTCCACGGCGGGCAGCCCTTGTCAGAAGCGGCTCGACTTCTCAGCCCGCGGTCGACCTGAGCCAGGGGAACGAGGTGCTGGCAGGTGAGCCGCCTGGTCGCCGTTGCTGCCTGTGAGCCACACCGTGAGCAAGACAAGCATCGCCCCAGTCCCCAGCGCCCCCGCGAAGCCTGTGAGCAGGCCGAGCGCCAGCGGCCCGACCCAGCCCGCCGGGCTCCGCTCGTACGGCGGCTGAGGCAGGCGCTCCAGCACCAGCTCCAGTCCCAGCAGGTCCCAGGCGGGCGCGCGCTCCGAGGTGCGGCGGGGACGAGGGGCGGGGGCGGGGGCCGGGGCCGGGGCCGGGGCGGGGGCGGGGGCGGGGGCCGGGGCGACGCCCGGCGGTGGCACGAAGCGCTGCCCAAATTTGCGCAGCTGCAGCGTCGCCTGCTGGTGGAGGTTCTTGGCCAGCTCCCGGGCCACGTCGGGCCGGCCGCTGTGCTGCAGGGCCCGGGCCACACGGTCCCAAGAAAGGGACGTGGCAGCCAGCCAGGACGCCAGCGCCTCCCGGCAGCCGTCGGAAACCTCCCCGGGCTCGGCCGACTGGCCCGCCGTCGGGTCCTCCACGGGATCCTCGGCTGCCTCCCGCCGCCGCCGCGCCTCGCCCAGCGACACCGACGTGGGCGTCAGCGGCTCCGGCCGCGCCAGCCGGTCTTCAGAGAGCCTGGCCAGTTCCGCCTCCACATCGGGCTCCGGCGCCTCCAGTAGCGACCGGAAATGGCCGCACTCCTCCGAGGTCAGCAGCTCCGCCAGGCGGAGCGCCGTGTGAGGGCCCATGGCGTCCAGGGCGCCCGTCGGCCCCAGCGCCCAGCTGCAGAGCACCACGAGCAGGGCCTGCGCCGCCATCGTCGGGGCTCCGATTGTGCGGGGCGGGGGCTGGCAACGTTCGGGAACGCTACGGTGGGAGGGGGCTCGAGCCCCGAGAGGACTGGACGGATTTGAACCTAGAGGACTGGGGAGCAACGCCCAGGAACATGGGGAGGGGCCCACAAAAGACAACCGGAGTGCAAGGATTTGGGACTCTTCGGTGGAGTGGGACTTTTGGCCCCAGATGGCTAGAATTCTGGGTCCTTATTTTAAGCCCTCGAAGCCCTAGATACCCTGCTTCCCACTATACTCCGTACCCACTCTAGTTCTAAATTCTCTTGGCCGAAGGTGCCTTGTCCTTTCCCATTCTCATACCTGCACTAGTCCAAACTTTCATGTTCTCGCCTTTGGATGAGGTGAGCCCCTCCTTAGGTCTCCCACCCACACACACTGAGGCCCCACTTAAGCTAACTTGTTTCGTCTCCCCCAAGAGGTCCTGACCCTGGCTGTCTGTTCTGGAGCTGCACTCCTGCTGCCGGATAGCTGCAGCTCCCCCTGCCCTTCTTTTTCTTTTCTTTTTTTTTTTTAAAGACAAGGTCTATGTAGTCCAGATTGGCCTTAAACTCGCTATGTAGTCTAGGCAGAACCCAAACTAGAAACATTTGCTGGGAAAACTGTACATGCTTTTGAATGGTTGGGCCCACATAATCCCAGAGATTATGCTGGGATTACAGGCATACACCACACACAACCAGCAGGTCCATCTGTCTCCTCTACTAGACTGTGAGGTCCACTGTCCCCACACATTAGTGTCTAATTGGTGTGAGGTAAAGACCTGTAGAATCAATGTATAAATTCTCAGCATGCAAATCCATCCTTAGGCTAATCTCCCCTATCATCACCCACCCACATGTACACAGGAGCTTCATTGTAGAGCCCCAGCTCTCATCAGGAAATCTGTGAGGTCCAGGGTGACTTCTCCAACCTTTACCTGAGCCACACACACTGTGCCCACTTTGTAACAAATCATATTGCTGGTGTCCCAGTCTCCATACTTGCCCAATCCTATGGAGGTGGAGGTGAACGTCCCTGACGCACCACCACCTATCTGAATCTTTTCTGGGCATTCTTGAGATAACTTGTGCATCCTCCACTGGGCACTGATCTGAAAATCAGAGGGTTTTGCAGCATCTTCTATGTGCCAGATAATTGTATCAGATATGTGAATATAAAGATTAATATGGTTTCCTCCAGCCCCAGCATCCTTATCCAATTGTATTTTTAAATGTTTTTAAACTTTTCCTATCTAGACTGTGGACTCTCAATAACAGTGGCTGTGCTTGACCACTTCCTTGTCCTCAATGTCACCCACCAGTCCACACATAGTAGGTGCAAGACAAATTAGGGGAAGAGGTGAGGTCCTCCACAGGCCAGGAGGGTTGGGCCCTAAGCAGGAAGTCTGGACACACTGTTTCCCTTGAGCTTTTGTGCACTTTTGCAGTTTTGCTTAGAGCATTCAAGGTCCTCAGGAAATTGTGGACCCAAACCACTCAAAAGCATGGACAGTTTTTCCAGCAAATGTTTCTAGTTTTTTGTATTTAGTCCCCAAAGGTGGTAAGGGCAGTGACAGATGGTGGGAAGGTGGACAGTCTCATGTGACCTGAAATACTGGAACTGAGTTGTCTCCACGCCCCGCCTTCTGCCTGCTCCAGGCCAAGTGCCCTACGTTTACTCCCTCTGTGAATTCATCTGTTCATTCACTTACGGCATGTGAACCTCCACTTCTACATCGCTGTATTGTGGGATTGGAGGCTACAGTGAGGCAGCCCTAGCCCTGAGCACCTGAGAAGCCAGAAGAGCCCCAATGCAGGGGTTTCCATCCTGTAGCCTCAGTACTCCACATCTGGGGGTACTCATTGTGCAGAGCGAGTCCCAGGATATCATTTTGCTGAAGGAACAGAAACATCCATGTGCCATACTCAGGGCCCTGGCAGAGGCTTGAGTGCCAAACTATTCTTAGAGGGTCCCCCATATCCCACTGCCCCAAGAAATCCTCTGGAAACCACGTTATCACTTTAATACTGTGTAATACTTTCTTTTAAAATACAGTCTCTTCTGAGGTAGACAGACCACAACTGCAGAGCATCATCAGACAGGAGATAAATATGTCCATGTACAACACACAGCAAAAATGAGGTAGAAATGGTTACAGCTGGAGGAGAGGATCCCAACCCCAATCTGGGTAGAGAAAGCAGATGGCCAGCTCACCCTCCCCAGTATCATGCCCCTGGATTCTTTGGTATGCCCCCCACATCACCAGTGCTGGACCTTCCCTACCCTTCCCACCCTGTGCCCCTGAGGTAGGTGACAGTAGACTGGGGGCTGTCTTCTTGTGCAAACCTTCCCAAGCCTGGGGAATAGGAAGCTCCCAGCAGAGGAAGCAGCAGGGGCCCGAAGAGTTCCTGCCCACATCCAGGGCTACCTGCCTTTGAAGGGCAGGCTGGGATCCCAACACCATTTCCCTGCCACCCACACACCTGAGAGAGAACCCCCTCACTGCCTGCTCCCTCTGGGGGGGTTTTGCAGCAAATCGTGTAGCCACTGCTTCGGAGGCACCAAGCCCAGCAATGGATCAGCTAAGGAGGGTCAGAAGACAGCCAAGGGTGAGGAGAGGGAGACACAGCAGCTTTTTTGTTTAGCACTTAGGCCAGCACTAGCCCTCTGCATCCTGGCCCCTGAAATGCCCCATGGAAACCCCTCCACATACATCCATTAGGAGAGCAAAGTGGTAAGACTGTAGGAGCTATAAGGGCAGGCAAGGTACCACAATGGAGGTTGGGAGGGGGAGAGAAAGGAGATGGGAGGGTATTCTTCTCTTTGGACCAAAACTCAGAGTTATGAGGGGAGGTGAAGCCCCATCAAGGAAAACTGGTGGGAAGGAGAGGAGCATGTTTCCCAGAGAAAAGGGCTTCAAGCTGTCTGGAGACCCCTGCTACACACACACTAACCCCACTCCCATGTGAAGGAAAAATATCCTGCCCGCCCTGGGACTGCATTCCCCACCCTGCCAGCCCCACACTCACCCCTCCCCACAGACCCAGGCACAGAGGGCAGCTGGAAAGCTAGTAAGCAGTCAATTGTGTTGACCCATACTTGCGACCAGACCATCTTCCCTCCTAAGGCAATGATGCTCTTAACCTAAGCAACTGGGGACCTCTGCCAAGGCAGGGGGAGGGCGGATGGCCTCCTTGCGGCCCGTACTACTTTCCTATTTAGAGCACTCTTGCTAGGAGAAATGAGCAAGGAAACCCCAACTTTGGATAACCTCTCACGGAAAAGTTGAAACTGCTGGGTGGGGCGCAGAGGGAAGAGCAGCAGAAAGGAAGCAAGGTCCACCTCCTTCAAATCCCACATCCCTCCAGGGCACCCCTACCTGCAGGCTGGAAACTGGGGAGAAGGAAGCCCTTAGAAATACATTCTGCTTCTGGCCCAGGAACAACCCAGGTCTGAGTGAGGATCTGGGTCTTCCTCTACCCTCCCCACAAGTCTCTTTCTGAATCTTCTGGGAGAATTTTCTCCCCTGGGGTGGAGGGTGGGGGACACAGGAGAGCAGCCAAAGTCCAACATTCTTTCTGAGGTCAGTTTCTTCCTGAGTTATCAAAAGAAAAAAGAAAAACAGCAAATTCTACACCTTACAAAAATAAAAGGCCTAAAATATTAAGCTACGTTTCTGGGACTTCCCCTCAAAACAAACCCCCAAAACTCTTCTTTGGGGGGGGGAGTTTGGTTTGTTTTGGCTTGTCCCCCTCCCCCAGACCCAAATTTTCAGCTGGGTAAGGGATAAGGGAGTAGGAAGGGGGTTCCCTACTCCTTCCTCCTCAGCCCTGGGCCTCCAGATCTCCTGCAAAAGGACACTGCAGTGTGAAGAGGGACAGAAGGCAGGGAGGGGCATTAAAGCACAGGGTCCAAGAAGCACAGGGACGCCCAAGCACAGGGTATAGACAGAAGCACAGAGAGTGATAGATGGAGAGGTGGGGACAGGAGGGAGGAGCAGAAGAGGAACTGCGACAGCGTGGTGGGGGAGGTCAGTGACAAAGCGACGGGAAAGACTAAGCAAATGCAGAGACATGGGAGTGGGGGAGGTGTGGGGTGCCATTCAGAGAGTGAGGAGACAAAAGCAGAGCAGGAGCTCCTTAGGCCCGGGTATTAGCCCCTACAGGGTCTGCCCCTTCCGCAGGGCGGAGATGGCGAGCTTCCCGTCTAAAATAAATAGGAAAAACCTGAGTACACGGCGCACACGGCATCAGTCTGTCTGGCAGAAGCATTTTCCTTCCTATGAAAAACAAATCCACCAGCTGAGCAGTCCTGTCCCCCACCTGACATGCGCCACTCCGGCACCCTCCTGGCCCGGTTTGCTTAAAGACATTCGCTCCAAGCAGAAGCGGCTCCCTCGGCCTCCCCCGTGCGCCATCAGTGTCCGGAGCCATACATTTTGTCCCACTCCACGAACGAGTCCAGCTCCTTGGGGGAGGCCCTCGGGCCCACCTTGGCTAGCGCCACCTCCAAATCCTTGTACGAGAGGGGGCACTGCAGCCCCGGGAGGCCCGCCCCGGCCGCCGCCTGCTGGCACAGCTGCCCCAGCTCGCCCCCGGAGAAGCCCTGGGTGCTCTGCACTAGGGCCGAAAGCTCCCGCTCGCTCAGCGCACAGCCCTGCTGAGCTAGCGCCCGCTGCAGAATCTGCCCGCGGGCCGGGCTGTCCGGTAGCGCTACGTAGAAGCGGAGGGCAAAGCGCCGGCGGGTCCCCTCGTCCAGAGCCGCGGGCCGCGAGGTAGTTCCCACCACCAGCACGCCGTCGGCCCGCGTGCTGCAGCCGCTGTCCAGACAGGCCAGGAGCTGGGACTGCAGAGCACCTGGGGCTCCGGCGCCGTCGTCCCGGGCTGGGAGCAAAGCGTCCAGCTCGCAGATGAGGACCACTGCCGGCGCGCGGCAGCGCGCAGCCGCGAAGGCGGCCTGAAGGAGACGCGCGCCTTCGGCTGGGCCCTGCGCCGCCAGGTTTGCACCGCGCAGGCGCAGCAGCGTGGCGCCCAGCTGTGTGGCCAGGCATCGGCCCAGCAGCGCTTTGCCTGTGCCCCGAGGCCCGAACAGAAGCACGGTCCGCGGCGGACGCGGGCTACCGGCGTAGGCCGGAGGCCTGAGCAGGGGCCACACCAGCTCCTCCTCTAGCGCAGCCTTGAGCGCACCCTGACCCGCCACGTCTGCCCACTGCACGGGCGGCCCACAGTCCACCATCTTGCTCGTTACCAGCTCCAGCGCCCCGGCGTCCACGCCTTTGGGGGGCTCCCCCGAGAGCACTGCGAAGCTCCCACGGGGAGCCGGGGGTGGAGCCCGATCCGGGAACTTTTCAAAGGGCTCGAGCTGTGGGCCGTAAACAGAGGAGCCCAGGGCCTTGAGAGGAACGCCGCCGCCGTACTTGCTCGACGCCTCCTCCGCGGCCCCTGGCGGCTTTGCCCGGAACCCGTTTCCCCGACACTCGCCGTCGTCTGCGGCGGGGTAGGAGGCGCCGTCGGCCGCAGGGTCCTTGGCTGGCTCATAAACGTACTTGCGGTAGCGGCCCTCCGCGCTCTCGTCTGCCGCCTTGCGCTTCAGCGACACGCCGGCTTCTGCTCCCGCAGTGGGCGCCTGGAAGCCGTAGGAGGTGGGCGCGGGGCGGGGCGGCGCGGGCAGGGGCGTGGGCGCGGGCAGACCCGAGGGCAGGTAGGGGGTCGGAGGCGCGGCCGGGGGCGGGAGCGCGCCGTAACCTGGCTGAGCTGCGTAGCCGCCCGCAGGGTAGTTGTACAGAGGCGCAGAGTGGCCATACCCCGGCGGGGGCGCGGGCTGCAGGAGCGCGGCTGGGGGCGGCGGAGGCAGCGTAGTCCCCGTCTGCGCACAGTACCCAGGTGCCAGGTAGCCCCCGCCATAGCCCGCCGCGAACTCGGGCGCCGCCGACGGGCCTCCGCACGCGTTGCCGGCGTACAGGGGCTCAGACAGGTTCCCGGCTAAAACCGGGGAGCCTCCGAGGCCTGCGGATCCGCCCCCGCCACCCGATTTAGTTCCTGGGAGGCCCTCGTGGAGCGAGGCCAAGGGGTAGGGTGGCTCCGGCCCTGGCCAGGGCTCCGTGTCTCCCTTGGCGCCATTGAGGAAGGAGGCATCACCGTAGCCGCCCAGGGCTGGGCGCTCGTAGGGTGAGTCCAGGACCCCAGAATACTTCTCTGCGTAGCGCTTGAGGAGGTTGGAGGCAGTGAGGGCAGAGATGTCGTCGTGTGCCCAAGCATAGTGGCAGCGCTGACGACTCCCTGGGGGCAGCTCCAACTTGTGGGCTGGCGACGGTGTGGTAGAGGAGACGTCCAGGTGCTGCTCTGGCCACTGGTTGAGAGGCTGGGCGTGTTCCGGTGTCCAGTGCATCTTCGACAGAGCTGCAGACAGGAGGAAAAGGAGCACCTGGTGAGGTCCTGGAGGGCCTCAGAGGCCCCACCAACTGCACTTAGGCTGCTGTGTGGGAAGGGCTGGTCTCCCAGTACCCACTACGTACCCTCGCATTCTCCTGGGCATCCTCCCTTCAGCCACCAAATATCCACTATGACCAAGACTGAAGTTATCTGACAATATTCTCAGAACTCAGAGGAAACCAGGTTGGCCTTTCACCTTGCAAGCAGTGGTTATTATTTTGTTCTGGCCATTCCAGCCATCCCTTCCGCAGGACACATGGTCTTAATGGATCAGGCAGTAGGAAGGATCAAGTGTTCGCTGCTCACCCACTGTGGGCTGCTGCAGAGGTTGAATGAGGCCTGCCCAGGGTTCCCAGCCTAGTGGCCCACCAGTTCAGAATTTCTGAATGCTTTGTTCTCAGCCTTCCCTGAGATTCCAAGGCCGCCTTTGGGCCTGAGGTCAGAGGTGCCCTCATATGTGGCAGTCCCTCATTGTCCCTGGGAAACCACAGTGGCTAGCCCAGGGGCATTTAGTTCCTGCCACTCAGTTTCTTTTGGCTGTCACCTGACGAAATCAGAGCACCTGAGTTCCAGATTTCATTGATTGTAAGGACCGTAGGCCCTGGGTGAGTGCTGCCATATGCCACATTCCCAGAGCTTGTCACTGTTCCACAAAAGTATACTGAAACTAGAAGCTAGATAGAACATGTGCTAGAGAAGTAAATACACAGCAGTGTACATCCTAGAAAGTGGGTCACAAATTTGTCTCTGCACTTCTCAGGAAGTAAAAACATTCCTGACACAAACATTAGAACTTTTACTCTGAACCTTAGGAAACAGATCTGTGAGATGAAAGTTTAATGGCCTTTGGACATGGTGCCATAAACACGTTCTGAGGCGGTTTCCTGTGCTGCCTTCCAGCACAAGTCAAAGCAGAAGCCCAAAACTAAAGAAATGCACTGTCCAGGCGCATGGCTCCAATGGGCCAGGCTGATCCTAGGATACGATTTGGAGGACTGAATGGGCCCATGTTTCTCAGAACTAAACTTTTGGAAAGTTATTAACAGGATCACATACTCTCATTCTTCAGCCCCTCCCCCAAAAATTGGTTTTTGGTTTTTGACAGTGCTAGAAGGCCTACCCAGGACCTCAAACATGCTAAGCAGGCACTGAGCTACACCAGTCCTTTAAATTTTAATTGTGTTTTGCTAGGCACAGAGTTAGACTAAAAGGTGAATAGAGTGGTTCAGCCAGGTGGAGGAGACAGGTAGGCAGTGTCCCCTGTAAAGTGAGAAGATAGGAGTGCTGGAGGGCTCGGAACTCAAGGCAGTTTGTCACACCTTATTGAAGTGGGGGTTTTCACTGAATCTTGAAAGGGCTGAGGAACAAAATTGAGCAGCCAGGCTGGCTGGAGCAGTAATCCCAGATCACACTTTCACAGCTGCAGGCACAACATACTCAGAAAGCCAGGGCTAGTGAGGGGAAATAATGAGAACCTGTAGTCCCAGCACTCACAAGGCTGAGGCAGGAGGATCCTTTGAGAACAGCCTGGGCAACACAGGCCTTGTCTTTAGGAAAAGGCCAGGGCTGTGCTAGCTTTCTCAGAACACTCAACTACCACTCTGGAGTAGTGTCATAATCTACAAATACACAATGTAGATCATGCCTCCTTACAAGTAGTGCTGTTGGTCAGCACACAACCTACAGAATCATGTACACCAAGAAATGCTGGGCCGGTATATGTGGGAAGCATGGTAAAGAAGAGCCTGAAAATAGTCAAGTCTCTTCTCGGGTTCTGTACATTGGGCCTTCCAGCAGCTGCTTGACAGCAGCTCTGCTACCTCACTACTTCCTGTGGCCTGACATCAATGGCACAGACAGTCTTTAAAAGTCAAATGATTTACTATTGTCCCCAGTGCCCTCGAGGAGGCATGAGCCACTTTAAGGTGAACAATTCTAGAGACTGCTTTATTCCCATGTGAGAGGTGGCACCTACCACAGTGAGGCAGGGGAGAAGAACAAAGACTGACAGGGCTAGGGGCAGGAGGTGAGGTGCAGCTTTCTAGTTCTTGCTAAAACGTGTCTTCACAGATCAGAGGCATCAGTGGTGTCAAAGGGGTATTTTCCCAGAACATCAGCAATCACAAGTGGTTCTGACTGCAGAACTGCATGGGGTAACATCAAAGTTACACAAATCTAAGTATTCTGTTACTGCATCAAACCTAAACCTGTTTTTTCTCTTGTTTTTGTGTATGGTTTTGTTTTGTTTTCATTTGCTGTTTATCTCTGTTTGGCTCCTTAGTTATAAATATGGATTCAGGAGGTTTGCCCTTGATGACAGGATTGATGTTGAACATACTTAGTTGGGCAAGCCAGGGAAAAGAGTGACTCTGTTCTGGTTTGGATCTAAAATATCCCCCCAAATTTTCATGTGTGTGGAAGATGATTGGCTCATGGGAGTTTTATACCCTCATTGGCAGATCCATTCATTGATGAGTCCACAGTGGAATGTACTGTTAGAAGGTGGAGCCTGGTTGCAGGTGGGTCACTGTGTGGGTGGCCTGGCTCCACCCTCTGTCTCTGCTTCCTCTACCATGGGATAAGCCTCTTCCTGAGTCATCACTTTCTACTGTGCTGTTTATGCCTTGGAGCCAGCAGACCATGGACTGAAGCTGAGCCAAAATGAACCTCTCTTCCATAAGTTGCAGGTGTTTGGTATTTTGTCCCTGTAATTGTAAAGTGACTAAGGCAGACCCTCTGCCAAGAGACAGAGCACAAAAAAGAAGATGCTGGGTCTGGACTTGGCCGTACATGTCCTCCTGCTTCCAGACCCTCTGCTCCTCCTTGCACTGTCATGTAATGTCCTCTAACCCCTTATTCCCCAAAGACTTGAGCCAAGCTCCCTCTCACCAGCATCTGCACTGGCCTCCAGTGATCTCCACCCACACCAAACACTCTGGCCCTGGTCATCACTGGCAACTGCTCCCAATCAGAAACCATTCCAGTCCTACATCTGCCTTTCCAACATAGCCACTCTCCTCCATGATGCGCCTGCTGCCCAGAGGGGACATGGTCCCTGATGCTTCATCTCTACCACTTGGTCACTGCCCTCAGTCTCTTCTGAGACTTACACTGTAGCTCATTTTCTTCACATTTTAGCTAGGGAAAAAGCTTTTTATTTTCCACTGGCCCTTTGTTTTCACCTTTACTTATGTCTAGCTACACAGAAAGGCATGGTGGTCCACCTACCGTTTTCTCAATTCTGTCCTGGTCCAGTTGCCAACTTGGCCTATCAGTTAATTGTCCTTCCTGCCTGCTGTGTACTAAGCTTCCTCCCCAGAGCAAATATAATTTTTCCCATCTTTACAATTACCTCCCTGGACCCTAAGTCCCTCACTAGCTACCAGTCCTTCTCTTTCCTCCTCCTTCATTCTTTAAGCATCTCCTACCTATATCCACATGGCATCTGCTATGGATTCTTTAACTGGTCTAGCTGAGGAGCAAGGGAGTACATTGGCAACCTCTGATAACTTAGTTCCAGAGCACTGAAGTTCCCTCTGAGCCATGAAGTGGGGGAAAGAACAAAGATCTGGTCGGAACTCAGCTTCCCAAGGCCAATCAAAGAGGGAGAGGCCAGCCTTGCTCACATTGGCTGAGAATGCACGCTCACACAGGCCTGAGCACACACAGTGTATACAGCTCAGACACATGTGCATTCATCCCAATTTGTGCCTGGCAGGTGCAAGTGTGCATACACACTGAAGTGCAGCCTTGTTCTTCGTGACAGACCCTGGCCCTGGCCCCTCCACCACAATCTTGCCTTCCCCCGCTTCCTCAGCCTGCAGTGCTGAGTGCCGTCTTCCTGTCCCTGCCCTAGGCCCTTTACAACCTTTTCCTTCGTGAGACTTACAGGCCTCAAGCTTCTACTCTTCCTCCTGCAGGGTCCTACATGAAAGATCACCCCAAGAGAGGAGCCCCTGCCTTGCAGAGTCACAGACCATGCTGCAGGCCTGGAGATGAGCTGAGCTAGACTTGGAGGAAAGTGTGGGCTTTGAATCAGGAAGGCCTGGTTTGAATCTAGGCCCGAACACTCCATGACTGGTAGGTTGCCTAACCAGACTGAACCCCAATGTGTACATCTGCTAAAGGGCATAATACATGCCAGTTCAAGTGGCTGTGAAGAATTTTTTTTTTTTTGTACCAGGTTTTGAACTCATGACCTAGTGCTTGCCAGGCAGGTGCTTAAGCCACTGAGCTAAATCCTGGTCCTGTGAAGATTTTTTTAAAATAATGAATGGGGGGGAAAGATTGTATGGAACAGGGGTGGTGGCACATACCTGTAGTCCCAGCACTCAGGAGGCTGGAAGATCGCTGTGAGTTTGAGGCTATCCTGAGCTGCATAGTGAGACCATCTCAAAATCAGAAATAATATAGGAACGTATACAGTCCCATGCAGAGTACAAACAGGTCACTTTGCCTTAGGGTTGGGAAAGAGTTGGTGGCTGGCTGTTCTGTGAGATTCCTTCCAGCTCTCACATGACAGATCAGTCCTCCTGCCATTTCTCCAGCAGCTAAGCACCAGAGGTAGAACCAGCTCGTGTTCTGCCCTTCATGTATCTTAATAGTGCTGAGATCAGTCCCACTGTCACTCCCATTCTGTGGATGAGGAGGCTGAGGTACAAATAGATTAATACATCTTGAAAGCCACATAGTATTCCACAATAGGAACAGAAATCAAAGGGCAGGCCCTCAACATGTGTCTGTACTGCCTGTCTGGTCCAGCTCTTTGTTCTCACAGCCAGAGAAGAACCTGAGGCCATGCCAGTGCACAAGATAGGACTCCATGGAAGCAGACTCCTATCTGCCTATGAACACGCACATATCCCCAAGTGCTGTATATTTTCCCTCCAACCCAGACAAGAGAATTTGTAGCCTCTCTTGGCAAAACCACCCAAGTAGGACTGTCCCTTTCACTTCGAACTTGCCCC